TTTCGTACAATTATATTTGGTTGGGCCCAAATTTGCTAAATACTTGGCATCTCAAAGTTTAATAGTTGTATCACTTATTTACGGCTCATACCGGTCAAGATTGCAAATATTGATTTTATATAAAAATTGCAAGGTTTCAAAAAATTGTTCACTATTTACGGCTCATACCGTCAAAATTCAAATATTTGATTTAATAAAAATTCAAAGGTTTCAAAAATAAAAATTCAGGGTGTTTCATAAAGTATGAATTTTTATTTAGATTAAAATAAATAAAATATTTATCTACATTATACTTTACCCTAAAAACTATTTGTAATGTTATTTCTATGTACTTCTATTTTATATAATGAAGTGATCTCAAAATAAAGTTCAACCTAACCCCTAAATCTAATTTCGGCTTCTAATTTATACAGATACTTAAAACCTTAATAGATGTTCAAAAAGTAATCAAATCATCACTCAAACCTCAACCTATGTCCTTAGCTATTCAATATCTATATATATTTATAATGAAAAAAATAAAAAATAAAAAATAAAAAAAAATTCTTACCACTAGGTAAAAGAAAATAAACGAAAAACTTGATTTGAATTGTTTAAAAATTATACGAGTCATAATAATAATATAAATCACTTTGCCTATAGTAACAATATTATTTATTTAATCCATTAGGAAAATCAACATATTCATATGCATGGATATTTGAAACCTCAAAAAATGACTAAAACCACAAATATAGAATTTTAGTTTTTTTCCTAATTTTCCAAACGATATTTTCCTTTGAGTCAAACAGATTTAGAATATACGAAAAAAATATTAAAAAATTAAAATGTTTAATCATCAAGAGATCATCTTTTCATATATATACATGAAACAATATTTTTTTCTAGATGTTTTTTTTTTTTAATTTTCTTGCATTTTTAAGATTAGAATAATAATTTATTTTGTGAAAAATTAATATCCTAATTAATCAATGATTGAAATTTTGATTGGGATAATATGTTAAAATAATAATTAGTCATCGGCTTTTTATTGTAAAAGAATTGCAAAGAAAAGTAAGTTCACTTTTTCTATCAGCTTTGAGTTTTGATTTATTTCTTAATTTCTTTTCATCATATTCAATTTTGGGATTGAAACTAGACAGAAAAAAAAAATTAATCTTTTTTTAATTATATTCCTCTTATTTTTTCCTTTCAACTTCTCCTTCTATAATATCCTAATTTATCATTTATTAAAAATTCAAGTTATTCAATAAAAGTAAATTATTATCAATTATCCACAGGAATATTTTAGAATTTTTAAAATTTCATAGGTAATCTCCTTATTCCCTCTCCTCTTTTCACTTATATACTTTTATTCATTTTTATTTTTATATTAAATATTGATTATAATTTTTATCTTATATTAACTTTTTGATCCAGATATATCACCGTCTTTTCTGACTGAGATAATTAACTCTCTAATCTCTTTTTTTCATTCGTTTTCTTTTTCTATTTATGGAAGGAACTTTTTATGAATTTCTTTGTTTTTTTTATTTTTATTTACAGGTCATGTTCCTCTATAATTGAAAATCCAATAGGAGGACACGCAGATTCAATATTAATTATTTACTTTATATTTTTTCACAAAATAATATTTTATCTTCTTAATTTTTATATTTTGGAGTATAACATTTCTAAGATTTTGATATTTTTGGTTATTATTTATTACTCTCACACAATTATTGTTTATTATTTAGAAGTATGAGAATTCTTTCAAAAAAAAAAAAAATTCTTTCAAAAAAAAAAAAAACAGTAAGTTAGCATTCCATTCTTTTTAATAAATTGCTTGAAAATTTATTTATTTATTTTTTACTTTTAACTAGAATATTGTGGGTTATATATATAAATTGAAACCTAAAAATTAAGGACTTTAAAAATTTTAAAAAATTTCAAAATTCAAAATTTTTAAATACAGTTATAGGATATTATGAATAGTTAAGACTTTGTTTGTATAAAACTTTCTAATCTTTAAATCTTTTTTAATTTCTTTATTAAATTGAAACTAAAGTAACTTTTTATTTGGAATATTATATATTAATATTTAATTTTTATACTTTTTTAATAATTAATTATAAACCAATATTTATCTATATATTATTCTTATTAAATATTGAATCGTAAAAATTTTATAGAATTAACTTGTGCTATATATGGTTGTTTAAATTGTTTATAATTATCTAAATAAGAATTATCTAAACAGGAATATTAATTTTATAATTATTTAAATTATTAAAATATCTATAATATGCCTAATTTAATAGTGTAATTTAAAATATATACTATATATTATATTAATAATATATTAAATGCAATTTATAAAATATAGTATACAACAATAAAGCAATCAACCCGAGCAAAGCGCAGACCTTCAACTAGTTTATGTTTAAAATGATGTTCCTATACTTTAAATTTTATTTTTATTATTTAAATATTAGAAAATTATATCTAATAATCATATTTTAAAACTTATATTCATTTACAATAATTGTATTTATCTATATTTCAATTTTAAATTTTGAACTTTTTTGTTGTTTTGTTAAATCATTTAAGATGCTTTTTTTTTTTTAAATCTAAAATTTAAACTTATTACTTATTTAAAATAATTATCTAATTTGTATTTGAATTTTTAATGTTTTTAATTTTATTTTATGTCTGCTTATTTATAATGATTATCTTTTTTGATATCTATATGTCTTTATCACCATCATACTTGAAGATGATCGATGAAAGAAACTTGCAAGTGAAATAATTTTATTCATGTTTGGTGAAATAAAATATTTGGTGAAATAAAATATTTGGATGAAATAAAATGTTTGGTAAATATAATTTTATTCATCATTACCATCATACTTGAAAATTATCAATTTAATTTTCTAGCAGTAATTATATAGTACAAATATTATTTATTATTTAATATTCAATTGCAAACTTATAATAATTTTCTAAAATTGAAAAATGAACATAATTCATGTTTTTTTTTAAATAACCTAATAAAAATCAGAAACATTTAACTTTGTTAACACAAATAAGAGTAATTGATAACTCATCTAAATATATTTTAAAAACTCACATAATAACCCATCTAAATTTATACTTTAAAAGAAAATCAAAATCCTGCGCAATGCACGGGCCTTTACCTAATATATATATAAAGCAAGTATTTTTTCTTAAGAAGTTGACGTGTGACATTTTTTAAATGAATATTGTTCCCTTATTCTTACCGCATAATATTATTGGTGATGACACAGAAGATTATAATACTACATATGACTCTTAAATTTTGATAGTGTCACATAAAATTTAATTATTAGTTACAGTGTTATATGAATATTGGTATTAATTATCATAACTAATACATATTAGTAAAAGACTATAATTATTGTAATATTATAACATATCTCTCTCAATTAAAATTACATAATATTGGTCCTAATCACTATTCAATTATCATGTTAATATGTATTAAATAATTTAAATTATTATAATATTATAAACTATTTTTAATTAAAAATTATCATAATTTTGATGTTGATTATCATATTAATATGTATTATAATAAACTATTTTTAATTAAAAAATTATCATAATTTTGAAAGTGATTTATTCAATATTAATTAGTATATATAACTTATCTTTTAAGATTAATATTATTATATATATTGAATATTGAATTATCTATTATATATTCATCATAATTTATCATTATTATTTATGAATGAAAATTTTATATTTAAAAGAATTGATAGAGAAGGTTAATGGTGAAATAGTTTATTACAGTTTTGTTAAGAATTGAATTCCGAAATGTTTTCAATATTTATTCCTTAAAGATTTAACAAATAATAGTTTCTGTTACTTAGTTTTTAATGAATATATTTCATATTGAATTGGCCATTTAATTTTGCTTATTTACTATATTATTATAATTAGAGATTTAGCTATTTGTAATGTTTGGTAGAGATCATTTTTTTTGTAATTTCAATAATTCTTATACAATTCATTTTCGACATTGATATATATTTTTCCTTCTAATTTCTATTACTCTATTAAATTAGAAAAAGTTTGATAAATTATAGAATAAAGCGAGTTATATGAAATTATTATTAAGAATGATATATGCAGATCTATCATTGAATTTCTATTGTCCATTTTATTTTATTATTTTTAATATCATTTAAGAAAATTTATTAGTTTCAAAAATAAATTAAAATAAATAATTTTTAATATATATTTCTTTTTCTTTTAATTTTATTATAGACATTAAATTTCTTTTTCTTTTTTTTATTATAGACTTAATTTTTTTATTATAATTAGTGTAAATTTTTTTTGAAATTTGAATAGATGTTTGTTTTAATATAAAATGTTTTCTTTTAATTTTATTATAGACATTAATTTTTATATAATTAGTGTAATTTTTTGAATTTGAAATAGATGTTGTTTAATATAAATGATTTTCAACAAAATTAACAAGTCTAAAATTATAAATAATTTAAATTATAGTTTTTTTCTTAATTAAATTATATATATTAAAATATTACCACAATGTCTCTAAAATTATATTTTAAAATATATTTTAAGTTTTACTGTGCATAACATAGATATTTTGCTAGTAGTTTTGTATAATTATAATATTTATTTAAGATTGCTAGATTCACTCACGACAGTCATAATTTATTATTTTTATACATTTTTCGTATTTAATAATAAATTTTCAAAATACAAACTTATATAATTATAAATAAATATTCTTATAGTCTTATCACTCAAAATTTTAATATGTTTACCGTTGCAAAAAAATAATGGAAAGTATTTACTTTATAAAATATTTTTAAAAGAAAATATTTATCTTGAAAAGTATTTTTTAAAAAATAAATTTTATAGTCAAAGGTTCTAAAAATTTTTGCACTGTTAAAAAGTAGTCTCAAATCCTTTGAAAATATTTTTTTAAAGATAGAGTTATTTTCAGCAAATTAACAGGCCTAAATTTTTAAACGTAGTTTGGAAAAAAAGAAAAAAAGGAAAACCCTACTTCTAAATTTCGGCCTCACTCTGTTTTGCTTGGGCTGTCAAGCACAAACGATCCTTAAACTGACTTTGAACCTGCGTAGAATTCCCGACTGGTGATTGACCTCCTCTTTCTTTCTTTCTTTGGTTGCAACTGTGTATGTGCATGGATTGTTTTGCAGAGAATTTGCATATTGTTTAATCTTTTGGCATTTCACTGTTAGGTTGATAGATTCTCATCCACTACAAAGCCAGCATCATGCCTACCGTGAACGTGGTGAGAGATCGTCTGTTCGAAGCCCTAGGAAGAACTTACAGTAAGTCCCTCTCTCTTTCCAATTCACGAAAATGCAATCAACAAAATGACTTGCTGTCACTGTCTTGTGCCCTTTTCTGGTTTTTATGTTTTTTTTTTTGTTGAATTGCTGTAGCTCAAGAGGAGTTTGAGGATCTCTGCTTCAGTTTTGGTATAGAGCTGGATGATGTGGTGAGAGATTTATTTTTAATTTCTTTTTGTGAGATTTGTGTAAGACCTGTATTAATGTGAAGTAATTGAATTTTTAGTTTTATGCTAGTATTTAGTAGCATGATTAATATGTGAAATGTAAAATGTATAGACAACTGATGAAGCAATGAGTAGAAAAGAGAGGCATGAAGAAGGAATAATGAACGAGGGTGAAGAAATTATTTATAAAATTGAAGTTCCTGCTAACAGGTACCTTCTTAACTTTTTTTCCGTGTACATGTGTTTGTATGTGTATGAATTTTCATATAAAGTTGTCTGCTGGTTGTTTAAGTTCTGATTTTTGTTTTGCCCATATGGAAGCAGGGTTCCTCTAGTCCATTTTTCTTTGTCTGATGGGCCTCATTGAGTGTATCTATAGAAACAATTGGTTGGTTGATTACAAACTGCTAGTTTTCCTCTAGTTCCATCAATTTTAAATGGATGTTGGTTCGCCATTAGCCTTCCAATTAAGGAAGTTTATCGTAGTTGGGTTCTCAATTGTAATGGATCTTTTTGTTGCTCTCAATTAAAGAAGACTATTGTTTCCGTGTAAGCTATTGCTGGCGGGTCTCATATATTTTTTGTTTGCTCCTCAAAATTAAAGAGACTATTGTTTGCCGTGTAAGCTATTTGCTTATGGCGGTGGTGCTCAATATATATATATATATTTATTATAATATATATATTTTTAAAAAGGGTTGCTTCATATGGAAATAATTTCAATCATGCCTAAATTGGTATGGTTACTGCCAGATTAAGTGTCGACGTTATGACTATCTGATGCAGGTCAGGACTCGGACCTATATATATATATATATTTTAAAGGTGCTTCATATGGAAATAATTCATCATTGCCTAGAATTTATGTTACTCAGATTTAAGTTCGACTTATGACTATCTGATGCAGTCAGACTCACCTATTTAACATACTTTAATTTGATACATTTTTCCATTTTAAAGATCATACCCTCATCTACAAATTCTTATTTGACGTGGGTCTTTTAAGCTAAAGTGACATGCTTAGAGCTTCCTTAACCTTCTTTGTTCATATATCCTCCATGGGAACATGCCTTTATTAAATAGAACTTATAAATTACCACGGATGCATACACCTTAATACAATTTATCTTTTTTTTTAAAATTTTTTTTATGTACTATAAGTTTTCATATTTGTATCTTGTAAATAGTGTAATTTTGACCTACTTGCTAATCTAGTTAATTTTTAGAGTTAAATAGTGCTAGTTTGCTTAAGGACTGATATTTAGGTTGGAAGTTGCTTTATTGTGCTAGAACTTGAAAAGTAATTCTTAAATGGGCGAATAGGAGGAACACTCTCCACACTGAATTGTTTGTATTAATGAAGATATAGTAGATAGAAAGAGTTTTGATAGTCTTTTTTTTTGTGTCTATGCTCAGATATGATTTACTTTGCCTTGAGGGGCTAGCTCAAGCCCTCCGTATTTTCAATAAGCAGGACAAGGTGCCAACTTATGCCCTTTCGAATATTAAGAAGGAAGCAATGCATAAGATGCATGTAAAACCAGAGGTATTGTTTAAGCTTTATATTTAAAAGCATTTATGGATAATTAGTCACTTACAATTTATTTCAATGGTTATGGAAAATTTGTCATTGCTGTAGACATCATCCATTCGTCCCTATGTTGTTTGTGCTGTTTTAAGAGATATTACATTTGATGAAGCGAGGTACAACAGTTTCATCGATCTCCAAGACAAGCTTCATCAAAATATTTGTAGGTAATACTCTAGCAGTTATCCTGTTATGCTGTTGCTTGAAGGGTCCTCAAGCATTCTTGTACTTTTCTCTCCCTTGTAATGTTCACATCACATTCATGTCTTAGGCGGAGAACATTAGTTGCAATTGGGACTCATGACTTGGATACATTACAAGGTCCTTTCACTTATGAGGTGAGCTTTTGCAACTCTTATATCTCTGTCATGTGATCTTCTTACACACTTACTATTTTGGATTATATGATGATGGGCTTGGAGGATTGTAGTCAAATCGTTATGCTTTAGATCTTCCCTCCATGAGAGCTAAAGGGGAGGCTTCTGCCTGACATAAAATCCTCATGGGCCATCGGACCAAACTCTTGTGATGAGAACAATTATTTAGTTGATGTTTCTACTTTGTTCAATTATGTATTAAGAAAGGCATTTAATATTTATTGCAAATCCTTTAGACATTTTGTTTTGTTCATTCTGTGGACAAAATATGTTATCAAGTGTTTTAAGTCATTTGTTCAGCTCATCCACTATGATTTTTGTTCTTTTGTTTCCATGCTCTTATTTGCTTCATATATATCATATCAAACAATGCGATTGACTGTATTATTAACCTATTTTATCTGCTTGTTTTCAGGCTTTGCCTCCTCAAGACATAAATTTTGTTCCTTTGAAACAGGTATGCTATTCATTGAGCTTATAAACAAATTATTTTGATAAAAATTCTATTTTGTGCTATAAGAAGGTACTGGCACTTGGTCTTGTCGGATGTATTTTGTTTGAACTATGTGAATAACCCCTTAGCTTTGTTTTCACTGTTGTTACTTCTCAAATTGAAACTTCAATTCACACTTGCCTTATACTTCTTTTCATCTGCTTTGTGAATGACATTTATTGTTACAGGAGAAGTGTTTGATTAAACTAATTTTAGTTTCTTATATATTTGATTCTGGTTGTTTAGGTCAAAAGCTACAGAGCCGATGAGCTAATGGAGTTTTACCGGGTGAGCTACCATGAAGAAATCAGCATTCACTGTCTACCCAATGCTCTTGTCAAATCCTAACGTTGAATTTCCAATTTTTTCGTTTCAAAAAAATATTGCGATTGTGGTGTCTGTGCTTGCTTTTTGCACAGGGTTTTTCTTTCATTATGTTAGTGTTTGGAATTTAAATTGCCTGATATTTTTCTAACTATGGATGTTTGGTGAATGCAGGAGCACGATTTGAAGCTGAAGAAGTTTTTACACATAATTGAGAATTCACCAGTGTTCCCTGTCATATATGACAGTAAGAGGTATGAACAGAATTTCTTAGAGGAGTCTTCTGATTATGGAAATCCTAAAGTTTTCCTGATTAGTTCAGTGATTATGCATGACTAACATTCTTTTCTCAATATCATGATGTCTTATTCGGATTTAATTTAGAGTTTTGTACTTCTGTTTAGCTTAAAGATGCTTAATTTCATTTTCCCTTCCATGGATATTGTTGCTATGACTAAGGGGTTAAGTTTGTGAGGGTTTGCACATGCACTTCTTTTCCTTGCCTCATATAAAAATAGTAGTGACCATGGAAATCCCTTTATTTAATAAGATGTGTAATGGATCACAACAACTGATGTTGGTTAAAGAAGCTCTTTATTTTTAAATAATTTAAATTTCTTTCTGCAGAACTGTTTTATCTCTGCCCCCAATTATTAATGGTGCACATTCAGCTATCACTTTGAAGACGAAGAATGTTTTCATTGAATGTACAGCCACTGATCTGACAAAGGCTAAGATTGTTTTAAACACAATGGTAAGAACTTGAACATTCAGAGTTGCTTTTGTATCTAGTTCATAATTCACACTTATCAGGTTTTTTGTAAATGATTTCCTTTGGATTTCTTAGGTAACGACTTTTTCAGAATATTGCAAGAGAAAATTTGAGGTGGAACCAGTTGAAGTTATATATTCTGATGGGAAGTCATATGTCTATCCTGATTTGTCTGTCTATAATATGGAAGTTCCATTGTCATATATTACTGGTGCAATCGGGGTCTCTTTGAAGTCTGAAGAGGTATTGAATCCTTTTCATTCCTGCACTTCTTAATAATTCAGTTAGCTAATGTTTATGTACAAGCCAGAGCTTAAATTTAAATAAATAATCAAATCTGATGTTTCAGACGAGCACTATCAAGGGCAGGGCTTTAGCGAAGACCTACATATCCACAGGCCCTACTTAGTTGACTGACGATAATATTAACAATTTGTTGGAATTAGATACGAAATGTTTCTCTGATGGTCTGTTCCAAGCAAACCTTTCTTAGAAAGCGTATTTGGACTAGAATCTAACTAGAGTAGTAATCAAATTGGGTTTGTCTGATGAACCTTCTATGGAAATTTCCTTGAGGGTAAGTCATATGAAGTCGTTTAGTCATGTACAATAGAGATCAACGGGTGCATTGTTGAATTGTAATTATGATGTTGTCAACCTAGAGGAAAGGATGGAAAGAAAGAAAGGTAGACTTGGTCGGTTGAGGTTCCTTTAGCAGTTCACAGGAATCAAGATTCCTGTTTGGTTTTAGCAATCATGTCTCACTTGTGGAAAATATGCTATTGTACTGGGTTTATATATCTGTATAGTTTTGCACTTTGTGTTCATATTTAAGCATGTAGCTTGTTTTCTTTATATGGTTTCTTATGAGCTATTTTGTATGTATTAACATTTAATGTTTAGAAATTTTCTTTTGTACATTCTACATACTGAAATTTAACATACTTTTTGGGATTATGAATTCTGTTTTCTTGTCTTAGGTCACAAGTTTGTTAAATCGGATGCAATTGCGTGCCGAGCATTCTACATCAGGGGCTGACCAAAGCAATATCATTGTATCTGTACCTCCAAGCAGAAGTGATGTTCTTCACCCATGTGATGTTATGGAGGTAGTAATGGTTGCTCATTTATCACCTTTTGCACCAAACCCTGTTGGGAGTTTTACATGTTGATAATGCTAGGGTGCTTTTTTTCAAGGATGTTGCAATAGCTTATGGGTATAACAATATTCCAAAGAGGAAACTACCATCATTGAAGCCACTAGCATTGAATCAGCTTGAGGATCTTATCAGAGTTGAGGTACTAGCTCTCTCTCTCTCTCTCTCTTTCTCTCTCTCTGTATACACACACACACACACACACACACACACACACACACACACACACATATATACACACACACATATATACACACATATATGCCCAGACACTCTCTCTTCTGTTTTAATTATTGGCAGGAGTTACTATTCTTGTAATTGAGCTTTTAGGGTTTTTTCTTTTGGTTTCTTTTGTGCTTTACTAGGTTGCAATGAATGGGTTTACAGAGGTTTTGACATGGATTTTATGCTCTTATCGGGAGAATTTTTCCATGTTAAATCGAAAAGATGATGGATCAACTGCTGTGATCGTTGGGAATCCTCGGTCCTCTGATTTTGAGGTTTGTATGTCCCTTCCTTATTGTCAGGGATAGTTTTTGGTGGATAAGTAACACAAACACTGAGGTTGACAAGATACACCTTAATGGAAGCCACTATAATGTCATATGGAGTACGCGTGATTTGCTATTAATTTCACTTGGGGCAGTCTCTCTCTCTCTCTCTCTCTCTCTCTCTTTTTATATACATATATATTTTTTTAATTTGTCTTTTTGTGATGAGAGTTTTAGCTGAACCAAAGTTGTAAGATAAATCATATTTGCAGTGTCCTATGATCATAAGCAGGCTTGTGAGTTAAGCTATGTCTCTTTAACTTGATTTTTGAATATGATTAATATATTCTGAATATATATATATATATATATATATATATAATTATATTATAATTATTTTAATATATATATATATATATTATGATGACTTTTGTTTGTTATCTGAAGTTTCTTCTTTTGAATATATGATGACTTTTGTTTGTTATCTGAAGTCTTCTTTTGAAAAGTTTTAACTTGTGTCTGTGAAAGACATTCAGTGGGAGATATTAGATATTGGTATTACTTCTACAATTAAACAGTCACATTTTTTAATCAGAAACCAGCTGTATTTGAAACCTTTATTTTTGAATTCACGATGTGGAAAGCTGTATATGACACCTTAAATCTCCCTAACTAGACACAGATTTGATTTTTTTACTAATTAAAAATCTGGCTCTCCCTTTGTATAGGTTGTCCGAAGCAGCCTCATGCCTGGAGCTTTGAAAATAATAGGACATAATAAAGACCACCCAAAGCCAATAAAGGTATTTGTTTTGGATTCTCAGATTGAGTTTGTTCTTCCATGGGATTGCATATATCTTTTTCCCCATGGGTAAACTGAAAGTGCTTGTAATTCTGTTCATACTGGGCTATGCTTAACATTGATGAAGTATGTTCCTGATAGTCTGGAGTAATGCTTAGAGGCACCTACTCTGTAGGGGGAAGGTTGGGAATCTAAGGTAGACTATTTGATTGACTGCTCATATATGTGTTTGTGTGCAAGAGTACTTTCTGCATAATACGCACTAAGTGTCTTTTTTTCATGTAACATTGAACGCTAGATTTGTGAATTAAGTTCTTTTTTCTCTGTATGATGTTCTCTTTTCTTTTCATAAGTCATGATGTGTATTTGTGGGTTATTTCATGTTTGAAATTGGCCCTAGATATTTGAAGTGGGAGATATAGTACAGCTAGATGAGAGTAAAGATGTTGGTGCGGCAAATCGTCGTCTACTTGCAGCTCTATATTGTGGCACTAACTCAGGATTTGAGGTATAACTTCTTTCTTACAAGAAATCTTATTCAACAACTAAGCTTTAATCCCTTAATCCCAGATTAGTTGGTAGAAAGGAACTTTGTAAATAAAAAAGAATCACGGAGAATCAACTTATAGTTTGTTGATGATTCTTTTTTCATTATTATTATTACTTAGCATTTGCTAGTTAAGTCTCTTATTTGAAGGCTCATTTATTACTTAAAAGTTTGGCTGGAGTGTTATTTCAATTGGATAGAATATCCTTTTCCTGTTGGGAAACAATGCTCCTACGGAGGCCACTTTTCTCTGTAATATATCAAAAAGTTGATGCAGGAACTTTTTGACTGTCATTATGTGGATGTAATTGTTTGAAAAGCTGTACTAAAAACTTGGGGTTATGGGGACAAAAATATCCACATTCTTATGCGTTTTTTGCATGTCAATTTTATTTATGTCAATAAAGTTCATTTTCATCCCATCATATAGTTTTATACGGGCTTATTTGAAGTGAAGAAATGACATGTTTAACCTTGTTTGCAGTTGATTCATTCCTTGGTTGACAGAGTTATGGAAGTGATGGGAACTCCTTTTGTACCGGTTGGTGACAATACAGGATATTACATCAAGTGTTCTGAAGTAAGTTTTTAGCTATATCATAATTTCTTCATGGTCCTTTTGGAGTTTTTGCTTATTAGGTAGTTACTTCCTTGATGTTTCATGAAGGCACCTGAGTTTCTTCCGGGTAGACAAGCTAGCATCATTTACAAGGGGAAGTGCATTGGTATTTTTGGTATTGTGCACCCTGAGGTATTTATCATTACCAATAAAGCCTCATTAAACAAATTAACCATATATATGTCTGTATGTCATAAATTCAGCCTTATACTGCGAATATGTGGATCTCTTGGAACTTTGTTACTCTCCATCATAATTGCTTTTCTAATAGAAGCTCCAACTTTCATTTCATCGTCTTCCTTTATCCCAATCAATATTCTATTTTTTGTAATTTATGTGCTTACAAGGTCTAAACTGTGTCTTTTCCGGTTAATATTCATCATCAATCTCTTTCTCAGGTTTTGAACAACTTCGACGTCCCCGATCCATGTTCCTTCTTGGAACTTGACATTGAGTGTTTCTTGGAACTTGACATTAAGCGTTTCTCGTAGGGCGATGACTCTGACAACAAATGTAGGTTAAGCTGTATTTTTTTTTCTTTCTATTTTAATATTGGGAAAATAATTTTTCTTCGGTTAATGGATGTGGTGGTGTCAAGGATGCAGGTATGGCATTGTTACATAGCCTGCTTATATACACTTTTGCCTGGGGGAGCAATTTTTGCAGTCAAACATCTGTGTAGGAGAATATTTTTGGCAAGCTCAGCTTGGGCAAAACCTCTCTTTTACAAAGTTTATCCCATTGATATTGTACTATTTGTAACAGCCGAAGAGAATTTGTTTGTTATCAACTAAAACGGCAAATATTTTGTTTAATTTAATCATTTCTGGAAAAAAAAAATTGGTGCTATTAATTTGAAATGTTATAAATAAAACTTTTTGAAGTCATTTCTGTTTCTTAGTTCTTAGTTCTACAGTATATAATGAAAAATGGTTTAATGCAGAAGTTATCCTTCCGACTTTAAAGTTTTATTCTTGTATTACTGTGAACTTTATAGAAGGTCTAAGGTTATGAATTTACTAATGTTTCGTACCTCTATCTATACTCTTAGCATATTTTGATTAAATCATAAGGATTACATAGTAATTATTTCTAGGACACTTGATACTTTGCAGTAACTTAACGTAAAATTAAGTGTTATACTTTATGATGTAACAAAAATATGATACAGACTAAATGATAGAATTTTAAAAATTAAGTTCTGAAAAATTAAAGGAATATAACTCAATTACTTGGTAGAACATATAATAATTTGACAAGAAATCAATTTTTTTTTGTACAATTTGCCTCTTGAGGTTGCACCAAAAGAACTAAATGATTAGTTTTTAAGATTTTTTTTATATAATTTTAACTAATAAAAATTTCTTAAATTTTAAAATTAGAAATAAAAAATATTTAAAAATAAAATAATGGTAATTAGAAAAATTTATAGTATTTGATTTAAAGATAATTTAACAAATATTTTGATTTGAAAAAAAATATGAAATTAAAAGAAGATTTGGTTATAGTTAGAAGAATATTTCTTATTTTTTTTAATTATATTTGATTTAGATAAAATATTTAATACTTTTTAATCATATTTGATTTATATTAAATAATTTATTTTTGGGACAAAAATTGGGCATTTGTGCTTTTGGTGCAAGTTTAAAAGGTAAATTGTTCAAAAAAATTAATTTTTGGGCAAATTATAGGTTGTGTGCAAATTCATGAGTCAAAATTGAGCTTTATTATAAATTTTATTATTTTTTAACAAGTAAATTATTAATTAACTTTAATTTGGCGAAATCGCCAAATTAAAACTTGGTCTTTCCTATGCTCTCGTAGCATGTTTATCTCCCTTCTGTCTTTTTTCATAAACCCTAAGGTTCTCTTCTACCTTCCATGGAACAATCCCTCCAGAGCCTCTCCCTAGGGAGGAAGACGATGGTTTCCAGATCAAACACCCTCCTACTCAGCCTTAGGAGTTCTATGATTTTTGTTTGGTGGGGATGTTTCTCACAATGAACCCTATCAACTTTCACTCTATGCGGAATACTTTTGCTGATGTTTGGCATCCATTGGGAGGGGTTAACATCACTGACTTAGGAGCAAAGAGGTTTCTTTTCCGTTTTTTCAATGAGGTCGATCGTGACCTTGTGGTGGTGAGCTCACCTTGGCATTTTAATAAACATCTCTTATTATGGCATTCTTTGAAGGAGGGTGATGACCCATTAACCGTTCCCTTGTTGACTACTGAATTTTGGATACAAGTCCATGATTTGGCAAAAGATTTCATGTTTGAACCTATTGCTAAGGCTTTGGGAACCTATTGCTAAGGCTAAGGATTATGTTATGTGTTACTAGTGTCCGGAAAGGGGACTTCATCAGGAGGATCCCCTGTCGCCTTATCTTTATATTTTATGTGTAGAGGGGCTTTCTCTTCTTATGCAGGAGGCTGAGAGATTTAGAGTTATTTATGGGTGTAAGGCAGGGAGTAAATGTCCTAGAGTGTCTCGTTTGTTGTTTGCGGATAATGAAATCTTTTTTATTAAGGCTTCTGCTTCTAAGGGGTTGAGACTTAAGAGTATTTTAGTGTGTATGAACAAGCTTCAAGTCGGGGGTAAATTTTAATAAGTTCGGTATTTCATTTAGCCCGGATGTGTTCCATAGTATTAAAGAGACAGTGTCTAATGCTTTGGGGGTTCATAATCCTTTGGGTGAGAGTAAGAATTTGGGTCTCCCTTCTCTTATTGGTAGAAACAAAAAGGCAATTTTTAATTGCCTGAAGGATAGACTTTGGCTGAGGATTAATTCTTGGAATAATAAACTTTTATCTAGGGCGAGTAAAGAAATTCTCCTTAAATTTGTAGCCCTAGCTCTTCCCTCTTTTTGTATGAGCGTCGTTCTCCTTCCTTTGTCTCTTTGTGATGATTTGCAAAATATTATGAATTCTTTTTGATGGGATAGTCTGTGGGGTCGGAATAGAGGTGTGCACTGGTATTCTTGGGACCGAACGTGTCAAAGTAAAAGGGATGGCGGTATGGGATTTCATGACCTTCGTTGTTTTAATTTGGCGATGCTAGGCAAATAGCGGTGGCAACTTTTGTCTAAACTCAACACTCTCATTTATGATATTTACAAAGCCAAATATTTTCCAATAAGGAATTTCTTGTTTGCTTCCTTACGAAGCAATCCTAGTTATACTTGGAGGATTGTTCTGTCGTCTAGGGAAGCCTTAAATTCAGGTGTGAGGTGGCGGGTGGGCAATGGGGAGAGTATTTTGGTGTGTTCTGACCTTTGGATTCCAAAGGAGGAGGGGTTTAGAGTGAAGGGTGGTTTAAATTTTATTGATCTTGGGATGAGAGTTTGTGAGCTTATAAGAGCGGATGGTAGAAATTGGGATTTTCACAAAATTGTTGAGTTGTTTAGCATGAATGATGTGTGCGCCATTCTTAATATCCCACTTAGTTTATCAAGGAGGATATGCTTGTATAACATTATGAGAAAAATGGAGAATATAGTATGAAATCAGCTTACTTTGCGGCTGTTAGTGTCCTAGCTAGAGAGGGGAGAGATTATTTGCGGAGTGTTGGGCCAAAATATGGAAACTAAAGGTTCCTCCTAAAATGCAGGATTTCATTTGGCGGGTGTTTCAAGGTATCTTACCCACTAGAGTTAGATCGAATGAGCGGGGCATTAACGTAGGTAGGGGCTGTTGCTGGTGTGGAATGGAGGAAACTGCTGATCGTATTTTGTTGGAGTGTTATAAGGCGAGGGAGGTTTGGAGTGAGAAGGGAGTGTCCATTCCTAACAAGTCAAGCTTTTCTAACGTTTTTATGCTTGTATTGCAGTCCCCAAGAAGCTTTCCCATCGAGCACTTCACAACTACTACCTCGTCTATATGGGCAGCTTGCAATACTTTCATTTGGCGGGGTCAGGCTTCTTTAGGCCACCAGATTTGTGTGTTGTTGCAGCTCGTCTCTTTCAAGAATGGCGCGACGTCTAGGCAATAGGCAACTGGGATAGATCCAGGTCCCCTATGATCTCAATGTCGACTGCCAATTCGTCAAGTCTGTGTAACAGTCTTGCATGGGGCCCCGCAGTTCACAATGGTTGGCAAGCTTTTCTTGATGGAGCAGTTCTCTAATATTTGCATGCAGCAGGATTTGGTGTCATTCTCGAGGGCGAAGAGGGTCAGTGGTTAGGGGCAATATCCTGACTTTTTAATGCTTATAGAGATCCTATCCTTGTGGAAGCTTTAACTCTTAGAGAATGTCTCTCATGGCTCAAAGATAACACTACTTTTGCTAGATGTATTTTTATAGATTGTTAGTCGGTTATTTTTGTGTTAAGTTCTAGGATAAATGATTTTTCAAAATTTGATTTGGTTATTAAAGTTTGTAAGAAAATGTTAATTGCTAAGCCTAATATTTTTGTTAGGTAAATTAGGAGACAAACCAACATAGAAGCTCATATTTTAGCTAGGGTTTTTTATTTTTACGCTCGTTTTCAGGCGTGGGTTTCTATCTCACAATGTATGTTGCCTTTCTATTTGTGAATGTTGCCTTTCTATGATAATTAATGCAAGTTTTTTATTTGCCTTCAAAAAAGAAAAGAAAAAAACTCTAATTAAAAGAATAACCTCATTTCTTTTTATATCATCATAAAAAATGGGTTTGGGTAATTATTATTTGAATAATATCTTTTATTATTAAAAATTTAATTTTTTCTTTAATTTATGAACAAATACAATAAAAATAATATAAATGATATTTGGTCTTTTTATTGAAAATTAACAGTAAAAAAATATAAATTTTAGATGAAAAACTTATTAGTTTAAAGGAACACATTTATATATATTTTTTTTAAAAAAATTAATTAAATAATTGATTTTACTTAACTAGAGAGGTTGAAAAAAATAACTTACCCTTTTTATAAAGGAAAAATATAGGAAAAATGACAATGAAAATAATAGTAATGATAATAACGGTAGTAAAAATGGAATGCTACAATAAACTTCATGTAGAAACCCGTGCCTTCTTGTCGAGGACGACAAAACTCCCAAATTTGGAGCAGAGCTTCAACAGAACCAGAAGTGAGAAGGAAAAGCTTGCTTTCTCTCTTGGCTGTTAGTGTCTATTACCGTTTCAATCTACTCTGTTTTCTGAATTTCAGTTCTTTCTCTTCAAAAACCCTAAGTTTCACTAATTCCTCCACATAACGGTTTCCAATTTTTCCCAAATAAAGAGATTTTAATTTGGATTTGTTAGGTTTTGTCTTTCCTTTTTTTTTTTTTTGTGTGATCTTGGGACATTTGTTATTGAATCATTAAAAGGAACAACCAGGAGAACCAAAATGTTGGGTGGGTTGTATGGAGACCTTCCTCCGCCATCTTCCGCGGAGGAGGATAAGTCCACGGCCAACTCGTCTACAGTGTGGTCGAGCAGTACCTTAATGGCGCCGCCAACTCTCCGTAAACCTTCCACGTTGGCGACACCGCAAACCATTCTAAAATCTCAAAACAAAACGAAAGTGCAAAGCTCTGCCTCCAAAATCATATCTTCTCCAGCGGTGGCACCAGCTCTGCCAACTCCTTCGGTGCTACCGGAAGAGCCGATTCAACCTGCCCTCATGGGGGTTACTTCTGTGGTCATCGAGGAGTATGATCCAGCAAGGCCGAATGATTATGAGGAGTATAGGAGAGAGAAGAAGAGAAAAGCACTGGAGGCAGAGAGAATCAGAGAACTTGAGAGGAGGAGACAAGAGGAGGAGGAGAGGGAGAGGAGAGAGAGGGAAGAGAGGGAGAAGGAAAGAGAAAGGGACAGGAATATTTCAGGGGAGGAGGCCTGGAGGAGGAGAGCTGCAATGAGCGGTGCTGTTCCTAGGTCGCCGTCTCCTCCAAGTAATGCAGATGGGTTTCTTATTGGGAAGTCTGAAACTGGTGGTTTAGGTGTTGGTGCAGGTGGACAGATGACTGCTGCTCAGAGGATGATGGCAAAGATGGGATGGAAGGAGGGACAGGGGCTTGGGAAACAAGAGCAGGGGATTACAACACCATTGATGGCAAAGAAGACTGATCGTAGAGCTGGGGTGATTGTGAATGCGAGCGAGACAAAGCCAGAGAAGAAGGTGAAGAGTGTGAATATCCACGGACAGCCTACTCGGGTTTTGCTTCTCAGGAATATGGTATGTATTCATTCGAAATTGTTATTGTTGCTTGAGGTCGTGAAAGTCCATAACGATTGATATGAATGGCGGCAATTAAGATTAATGATTAGCATTTAGTTAATTTTGAGAAGTAAAATATTTTATTATGATACATGCAAGGAAGAGTACGCATCTTAATGAAAAGAAACTAATTGAAACATAGTAATATTTTTTGCTGCTTATAATGGCTTTACTCTGTTATATCATTTTGGTTCTTCTTTAGAAAGCACTCGATGCAATTCTAGGAGTTCCACTAGGATTAGGCATTGCGTTGACCTGGTAAAGTAAACATTAGGGCTTGCTTAGCTTCCTTTATCGTGTTTGCTTGGCCTAGGTCAGGTAGGTAACTTGTAAAGGTGCGTGGCAGTTGTTGTTTCTTGTTTATGTATTGGCTGGCTGCGAAGCATGAGAGTGTGAATGCTTTCATTTAGATATTTACGACATTTGATAATTCAATAAGTAATTAAGCATACTGTTATTGTTACTTATTTGTGTATGGTCACTGCTATGATGCAAGAGTTTGATACATCAACGTAATTGAATGGGTAATTATTTGACAATTATCCTGGTTAAGTTCTTTATTGCCACTGTCAAGGCTTAACTAAGCAAACAATTTGAAGCATTCATAACATTTGACGGCAATCTTTCAATAGTTATTTACAGGAAGAGAGAATACTAGCACCTCTGACAGAATTGGATGCCCAAACTTAAATGTCTGTACATAGATTCTAATTTTTCCTTGTTCTTTCTGAAACTTCTTGATCTTTAAGAGTGGAAGTGCCGGACATCCAATGAAGCATGTTTCTGATTTATCCCTTTCATTTGTCAGTTCTGTTCGTTGATTTCTATCTTTCTTTTGCTCATGATTTGTGGGACTATCCCCAAATTAGTAAGGTTCAATTTGCTTCTTCCTTCCAATGTGTCCCTCAAGTTATGTTTAATACCCCTGCTTTTAGGGAACCCCTTAATGGTAACTTCTGCCCCCTCTCATCAGGTAATTCTTTTTCTTCTTTGAGTTAGTGAGATGACTTCCGTTCTTGGTCCCGATTGATCTAAAAGCGGTTTCCTTCTTTCAGTACCCATTCCCCTATCCTTTCTTTGTGGATTGATCCTTATACTAATTCCCCAATTCAGAAAGATGAGTCCCCGGTTTTTTTTGATAGTGGGGGAAGGGATGAAGACTAGTGCATGCATGTGCTACTAATAAAGGTTGCTTTGATTTTGAGGTGGCTCAAGTTTTACTTTCAAACCCTAAACTCCCTTCTTTATAAGTCTCAAATTTCAGAGTGTGCTTATTGATTCGAAAAATGTATTTTAATATTTCAAGAAGGTTAGATAAGTTAAAGAGAAATGAAAACTATTAACCTTCTATTTATTTTACGTTCTGAGAAGCTTTAGCAAGATCATCTGGGAAGTAACGTAAGTATTTACTTGATTGAATGATTGTTTGCTTGTCTATAACACTTATTTGTCTTTCGTTGTTGTGTTTGCGTAATTATGTATCATTGTGTAGCTGGAGTGTTGACATTTATATTAGGACTGTCATTTCTTTTTGGTGCAGTTTATGCTGGAAAATGTCGGAATTATATAGCAAATTTTTTGTCTGAAGAAGCTATGGGGCTTGTAATGTTAGGATATAGAAAAGAATTGTGAAAAAGGCATGGATGATCAGAAAAACTAAGTGCCATTTACCTAATGGAACTATAGGTTAAAGGTCTTCCCCATATTTTCTTGGGTTGGTGGCCAACTTCGGAAGCTTTCTTTTTATAACTTTTTTGCAATATAAAACAAAGGGTATTGTTGTGTTCATCATTGTAGAAGCGAACATTATGCATTGAATGATTGTGTGCATGATATCATATAAATGCCTCCACAGGAAAGGGGTGTAATATTCTTATCTTCCGCTTAATTAAATGGGAATTGTGTATGGGAGAATGATTCTGCTCTGGCTCGGTTTATTATTTCTTTATTTTGATGAAAAAAAGGTTATCATCAAAGGGCAGTAGGGGTCAATTGAAGTAAAAATAAATGAATGAATAAATGAATCACGTGCAAACCTGTATTCTTAATACAAGATAATATGGACATCAATGAAATTCTTGCCTATAAAAGAAATGATGAATTCGGATCCTGTAAGAACAATGAGAGTTGTCCCCTGCTGCTCAATAGCTCTCACCATTTCTTTTTATCCAAATTAGTAAAAAAACAGTGAGACGAATCAGTGCGAGAGAACATGTGTCCTCTGAGCTCACATGATGAATTCATATGTACCGTTACAAAAGAGCACCTACTGGTAAAGTTTTTCATTTACTGATTGACACTAGTCAAAAATTTCTCTCTCATGTTGTATTTCAAAAAATAAAATAGAAAAGCAAACGCTGCTATATGGCATTTGAAAGAGAGTTGGTTTGTAGAATAGAATCCAATTCCAGCAAAATCTTGGTAAAATATTCTGCCTCAACAACTATTTGTAGGTACTCTTCATCCAGCAGAAACCTTCCTGATGATTATCAAATTCATTTTAGGCTGTATGAAATAATTACAGTTCATCTAGATATATTTTCATTTTGTGTAATTTTTTCCTTTTTTCTTGCATTTCATACAATTTGCATGCAGAAAATCTCGTCACAAGAAAGTATGTCGAATAAATGGTTGGGAGAAAAATGGAATTGAAGATTTATCAAAAGTGGCTAGCTTTTGGACATAATTAATGAAAGATTATTATTTTTGATATATGCCCTTAAGAATGCTAAGAATTAGCGTACTGAGAAAAAGATAGGGAAGAATGGTAAGAAGTCTTTAAGAGGGTTTCACATGATACACGCAAAAGTTTGAACAGAACTTATGAAGACCACGATCTTTTTGAAAGTATTGTTGAAGACAGGACATGTATACTGTGTCAACATGGCCTTTCAGGCTGACTTGAGATCATGGAGAAACCGCTGGCCACCAAATTTATGCTTTAGCTTGAATAGAGGTGGTGGTTTGTGGAAGCTTCTCTTGAAACTGAAGGCATAATTTATTCGATGAGGAGATATCAGTGATGTTGTAATGAAAATATTGGACTGAATTCCTTCTATATCTGTGATTTCTGCAACCTTTATTACTGCTGTTTGTTTCTAGCTGAATGCACCATCAGCTAGTTCCGGAAAATATAGAGCATAGAATAGTGGCTGCAAGAAACTTTAATGCTTTTACTAAAGCAGGTGGGGGGTTTGATCGGTCAAAACTTGTAACTGAATGGATGACTATTTTCCTTTTTTTTTTTTTTTTTTAAAAAAAAAATGATTAGAATAGTGGCTTGCAAGAAGACTTTAGATGCTTTTACTAAACAAAAAGGCCGGGCTGGGTTGATCGGTCACAAAACTTGTAACTGAATGGCACTGACTATTTTCCTTTTCCTTGTTTTTTTTTTTAAAAAAAGTGTGTGGAATCAGCCGTGTTCCTGATAGTATGAACCTTCACAAGCTACTACTTAAATAGATCAAGTTTTAGCGTGTTCCTTTTTTTTTTTTTTTTTTAAAAAAAAGTTGGAATAGCCGTGTTCTGATAGATGAACTTAAGTACTACTAAATAGCAAGTTTGGTCCTACTTCCTTCCCTGCGATGTTGAGAATCATTGATAAAATGTTATTGCATGATTAGAAGATTTGTTTCTTTTTGGGTGCCTTGATTGTTTTAGTGGTGAGACTGAGAACAATTCAAGTACCATGATTGTAAAACTAATTCCCGCCATAAGCAAAATTTGGTTCGTGATAAATGGCAAATTTTCTTCTGTTTGATCATCTGCTTACACTTTCTGCTTGTAGTTTGTTTCTTTGAAAATGCCTATGAGATAGTCACTGTACTCTAAGCTAAATGTGGTTTATGTGCTTGTTGGTCGTGATGTTTAATGAAGAAAGAAGAGTTTAGTTTTTCTTGACATTTGCTTTCTCTGGTAGGTGGGTCCTGGTGAGGTAGATGATGAACTAGAAGAGGAGGTTGGCTCTGAATGTGCAAAGTATGGGACAGTCACTAGGGTTCTCATATTCGAGATAACAGAGCCAAACTTCCCCCGTGAAGAGGCAGTCAGAATTTTTGTACAGTTTGAGAGATCAGAAGAAACAACAAAAGCATTGGTTGATCTTGATGGTCGGTACTTTGGAGGCAATGTGGTTCGTGCATCATTCTATGATGAGGAGAAGTTCAATAAGAACGAATTGGCTCCTATGCCAGGTGAAATCCCTGGTTTTTGACAGATCTTTTAATAGCTCACCATTTTTCTTTCGCGTGGAATTTCTTAGTAGGCTCAGTTTTAGGTATAGTCATTACTGTCTTCTAATGACAATAACCAGTGCTTGAAAGAATTGTTACTACCATTTGATCAAGAGAGGAATTTTTGCCTTCCTTTTGAATTTGCCTTGTGAATTTATTTTTCGTGTTCAGCCCTGTTCTATTAAATACGTAATACTTGAGTTTGATACATTTCACGATACATTTTGTCATAATTGACGTAATTCCATCATTTTAAAAGAGAGAAATATCACCTTATAGGTAAGATTTGTTAATTAATGATGAAATTTGAACTATTTAATGTTATTTCACAAATATCTTTCAAATCATTTAAATTATGTTTTCAAACAAATGATGGAATGTGAAATTTTTAAGGATTTCATATTTCCGTCAATCCAAACAATTGCGAAATAATTAAGAAAAGAATGCCTCAACTGACTGCAATGATATTTTTTTTTGACAATATTAAAAATGTTAATCACCATCTGGTTTTAACGGATTGAATAATTAGCATCAGTATTTATATTAAATATTAGATTAGTTGCTGATGTAGCAAGTGTAACAGTTAGAAAATCTGTATCATCATCTAAAAGCATACACTCCTATAGGTTGAAGGAAAACAAATTATGATGTATTTAGAGCTTCCAGTTGTTGCTAGTTGCTACTGTGGTGCAGAGGTGACCCCACAGGTGTGTTCTGGTTAGACGTCCTGGCCTCTTGCTGCTGCGGCTGTTGATGACCTGGAACAGCCACCTTCATTCCTCCTCCAGCCACCGTGGCACCACCAATTCCTCTATACATGTAGAATGCAAGAGGAATTTCCACCTCACAACCAGACGCACCATCACTGCAGATATAGGGAGAGGAGGTAGCAGTAGTTGTGGTAAGCTCTCCATTATTGTTGTTGCTGTTAACTATCATGGTTGTTGGATCAAACTGGCGAGGTGATGTGGTGGTTGAGCACTCTCCACCAGTTACTCCTCCTGCTCCGCTGCCCCCAACAATTACAGTGCTGCTGCTGGTGGGTGTAGTTGTGGTGCTTGTATAATTTTGAAATGGGGTAGCTCCACATGTTGGGCAGCGGTTCAAAAGCTTATAAAAACAAAATGTAATTAATTAAACAAACAGTTGGCGAAGGAATTGAGAATCAACAGAAAAAGAGATACCTTGCAGCGGTGGGTGGTGCCGTCAGGCTCGACGATCCAACCAGCTTCTTTGGCAAGCTCACGGAGGACTTCATTGATATCAGCGCGAGGAGAAAGGTGGTAACCGCCGTGTCTTCTAAGGCCATGGAAGATTTTGGTGGTGATGGCTCTTCTTTGCCTTTCTCTAAGTTTTGTTTTCTCCTTCTCACTCTCACTCCTTGTTGATGAACTCCCCACCATTATATTTCTACTTTTTAGCTCTTTCTTCTTTTTTTTCTTTCTCTTTCTCTTTCTCTTTCTCCCTCTGTATATATAGGCATGAAGTACAGGTCTGTTTATATATGTCTTTTGCATGATATAGGAAGGTGAAGGAATTGCACGAGAAAGAGGGTGAGAGAGAGAGAGAGAGAGAGAACGCGTGAGTGACTAATTGCCCTTATTTATTTATTTTTTTAAGTATAATTGTTGGTTTTGAATATTAAATTTTTATTACATATCTATTTTGGTTTAAAATTAATTTTGAACAAAAGATAGTGAAGTATTTACTCAAATAATAAAATTTTATAACCCAAATTAATTCAAAAATTAACTTTGAATCAAATTTATCATTTATGCTTTTTAATATAATAAAAAGAGAAATTATTTTTTATTATTTGCGATCATAGTTGTCAAACCATGTCCGGTCCGACGAGTCAATTTGGAGAATTAGTGAATTAAATGGGACTGATTTTGCTTTGAATTATTTAATAAAGAGAATTGGGTTGAATGGACTGATTTGTAGTTAAATCAGTTGATCCAAACAGAATCAGAAGTAGTTATTATCAAGATATGGTTGTACCACAACTGGTGGCTTATTATAAGTACTCTGAAGTTTGATTTGAATCTTTTTGTACCGTTAATGCCCCAGAAATGACACAGACTGACACACCCACTCAAAAACCTCTCCTCAATTTTTGTTTACTCAGAGTTACCAAAAAGTCCAATGACCTTTGCTTATCATCTTTTTAAGTGAGATTATAACGTCACGTTATGTTTGGTTGGGTGTAAATTAAGGAGGGATGTAAAAAATAACAAGTGAAAATTTTTTGGAGTTTGCAAAATATATTATTTGGGAAGGAGGTAAAAATTATGAGGGGATGCTTCCTCTAATTTATTCTCCACATTGGGAGGAAAATAAAACAAAAAAAAAAGGTACAAATAGAGTTAAATAAATTTATTTTACTTTCTCTTTTATTTTCCCTCCAAACCAAACAAATAGTGTAAAATAAGGAGGTAAAATGAATAGTAGCATTTTATTTCCTCGTTTTCGTCGTCTCTCCATCCAAACAAAGCATTAATTTACAATTTAGTAAATTGAATAAAAAGGTTCAGCTTCTATTTATTGTTAATAATAGATTTTTATTTTTCTTATTAGGATCATTTGATTTGATAATAATAATAATATCACTTTCATTTTGACCATTCATTTTAATTTGCTCAGAAAGAAATTATTCCTATCCAAACCAAAAAAGATCTGTAAAAAGTAGAACTGTACATTCACCTTCTGATCAAGCTAAGCTATGGGGTTCTAGGCTCATACAGTATAGCAGAGAACAGATTATGAAAACTAACTGATTTGTCTGTTTGTGGTGATGTACTGAGAGTTTGCAGGAGAAGATGCTTTTTTTTTCACTTGGACTACAGTTTTGACTTGATAATATGCGGTGGGGTTCTATAACCTTTTTTTTTATAATAATTATTTTATTATTTTTACATAATCATAAATGAAATTATCACAAAATATTAATTTAGAAAAATAATTTCATTGGTAACTCATCATAGAACCTAATTAACCAAAAAAATTTGATGATCTCCATTGGCTCTAGGTCCTCATGCTAAAATTAATCACTTTTACCAGTAGCTTGAACAGGCAAAACAACCACAATACACCATAGCTCTTGGTGTTCATTCAAGAACAAGAAGCTGCAATGAAAAAACAGATGCAAGAGAACAGGAGCAAATGCCAGCAACCACTTCAATTCATTTCATTTATTAACACATGAGAAAAAGCTAACACGTGGTTGATAAAATACAACACGATAGTTTCGCCAGGCGGGGGAGGGGGGATGGGAACCTGCAAATTTACAGTGGGGATAAGATTCTGCTTCCCCTTCTCGTTTCCCATAGTTGTTTTAAACATATGCAACCATTGTCCAGGCGATGCACCAATGCATAATGTGCAAACATTTATATTATGCATACTCTCAACACACCCACCACAAAAAGTAAAATAAGTTGTGAATTTTTTACTCTTGTTTCTGCTGATTAGGATGCCATGAACAATAACATCAGGAAACAACGAATGCTATTGAGGCATTTCAAGGTCAGGTCTTCTATCAAATACCTCTTGTGTGGATTCATCTGGAAATGCATCCGGATAGGTAGACAAAATTTTAGCCTTCATGTTTCTACACAAACACAAAGAAAATGAAAGAATAAAAAAAGGGAAGGATCAAGCTCAAAATGACAACTCTAGCTGAAATGAGAGAGTTAAAAAGGACTACAACTAAATCCAGTGCATGTGTGTGTAGTGAAAGAGAGATTTTAATGGAAGAAGAGAGAGCAAAAACTCGCTACTTGTCCTAACACCTTTCTTTACATAAAATTAACTCGCTACATATTGTAACACCTTTTCTTGTCATGTCATGGAGGCTTACAGTATTTCCTACATGCACATTTTATGTTACTTCTAGTGTGCCTTCTGTCCAGATATACCTATCTAGAGTTAAAAGGAACAGAGAATACTCTTTGAGTATACAATCTAGTTCATATCGACAGGAGGTCATGTTCAATCCACCCAGAATATCCCCATTGCTCATAAACTTACCAGGGAAACAATTGGAATGTGCTACTGATTCATGTTATTTTCACACACAGAATCACAACAATTGGCAATGCAGAGATTCTTCCCAAAATTATCAGATATTTTTAACTAATGTTCAACAGCATAGTATTCATTGGATAAACAGACAAGGGCAACAATTGGAATATGCTACTGGAATGACCACAATTGGCAATTGCTAAGATTCTTTCAAAACTTTTCAGATAATTTTAACTAATTGTGCAGAAGCATATCACTAAAAATTTAAAATCAACCTCTCATTCAATTCCACATTTTTAATTCCCCTTCTCAATTTTTTTTTTTTCCACTTCTTTCTTGCTTCAACTTCTCCTGCTACAGAACTTCCAACACTGAGCACAATTAAGCTACCACAAACTTTCTAGTTTCTTTTCTCATTGAAACCAATTGCTTCACCTTTACAAACCCTAGACACCAACATAAATACATGCAGAACCTTGGGTACCAAATTATGCCATTTCAAACTGCTTATTAAATGCATAACAAATTATTCGAAAAAATTCCCAATATATTGAACCAGGTAGCAGTAAATGAATCAAAGAACACTAGCTACAACAACAATTGAACCAAAAACATAAGCAAAAGCTGAAATACCTTAACTTTTGAAATATGTAATCAAGATCAGACTTCATAGACTTCAAGACACGAGTATTTCTTGCAAAATCGCTAGAAACCTCAGCGAAACAATGCTCCGAATACTCATTAAAATGAGACAACACGGCATTGCTGTCCTGCAACCTCCCTAATCTGCAATTTGATTCGAAGACCAAATATTTATTTAAATTGGAAGCATAAGCAACTAAACGATCAACGATTCAAGAGAATAAGCTTGAAAAGCTAACACATAGAGAGAATTGAAAGTACATGAGATGCTGCAATTGCTTGAGGGAATCCAAATCGTCTCCATTGATTAGGGTTTTAAACTCTTCTGATACCTCTTTCGATGCTTCTCTTAGAGATTCCTTCTCTAATTGCTCCATCGCTATACTTGTTACTATTATGCACAGATACAAAAACTTATACACAGCGAAACAAGAAGAAGAAGAAGAAGAAGAAGAAGACGATGACTACGCATGTTTGAGCCTGGGCCAATAACTTGGGCTTTCTTTGGGCTTGGCTGAAATGCCTTATTGGGCTTAAATTCTATTTTTGATGGAAAAAGGAAGGGCTAGGTGACTAGTTGTCATTTTCGGCAATGAAAAATTGTGTTCTTTAATGAAAATATTATGAGCAAAATATTAATGAAAATTCATTAATGACAATTAAATTTTTAAATTAAAATTAAGTTTTATAATGAAAAATTATTTAAATTAGAAAAAAAAATTAAAGTATTGCTTAATGTATTAAATTCAGAGAGCATATTGAACTTTATTCCATATTAATATTGTTTATGAAACTAAATTGTTTTTTTCAGCAAAATGAATGTACTGCAATATGATTTTTACGGCTTAAAACTTATTTTATAATGAATTCATAATTTTAAATTACCCAAAATCAATTTTATAACTGAAAAAAATTATATTGCAATAGTTTATTATACAATCGTTCAATATATTTACTTGTAATTTTCAACTAAAATATATTATTAAAAATATTTCTAGACAATTTTTACCTATGACAGAAAAAACAAATGTGCAAAGCTAAATAATGATAATGTTTAATTAGCTCTAACTATTTCTCATGGTTTTTCTTTTCGTTTTCAGACCGGTTGATAGCTTAAGAAAAATAACAATAATAATAAAAAAAAAAAGACTAAAAAGATTTCAGACTGGTTGATAGCTTAAGAAAAAGACTAAAAAGAAAAACAAACAAGGGAATTGAACCCGACGTGAATCGAACACGCAACCTTCTGATCTGGAGTCAGACGCGCTACCATTGCGCCACGGATCCGTTGATGTTCGACTTGTACAACAATTAATATAACTCTTAGACATGGAGGGGAACTGAATACATTACCCTTGCTATTTCATGCTAGACAATATATGTAATAATGTATTTAACTTGGGTAAAATATTTTATTCCCTCCTCTGATACTGAAAAAAAAAAAAAAGGAAAAGTAATTTTAAAAGTGGAAAACAAGCCATGGATCAAACCATTAAGATTTCAAATTTCCAATAGGATCAATTCCTAAGTTCTAAATCCCAAAAAAATTCAAAACCACATTTACTTGGTCCAACACAAAACCCTAAAAAACAAAACAAAGGCAAAAATTAATCATGAACTCTCATTCTCTATGCCCAAAGATTTCCCTTAAAACACATTAACTACCACTGCCTATTACTTCTGCTGGAAAAACCCTAAACCCTTCTAGAAACCCAACCCCACCATCATTTCTCTTCTGCAAGACTTCAACCAAAACAGAAAGCTATCTATCCCCTTTTAACCATACACTAAACAAGAAATCTCCTTCAAGCATAGCAGTCAAAACCCTAGCTTCAGGCTAATTAAAACCAACCAAGATCTTAATTAATTGACAAATTTACAGACTATGAGATAGAGTTCCTGAGATGAATCAGACCAGACCAGACCAGACCATGATAGTCTATACATGTACAGAGCTACTAAATCTCACAGCCTCAAAACCTAAGAAGATCCCTTTGTTTTTACTACACAACTAACTGAACATTTCCATGCACCACGCAATTCTTTTTCTCTTTTTCTTTCTTCTTGTTTCTTTTTTCTATTGTTCTTTCTTTTTTTTCAAAAAAAATGTGTTGCTGTTGAGGTGATGCAAGGAAAGGAAGGTCAGAGACACAGTGCCATGAAAAGGATCTAATAAAAGCACGCTCATCTGAATCTTGAGCCTGTAAAAGGCAAATATTTTTGAGAAAAAGGGAGAAAGAGAGAGTAAAGTTTAAGCATGAAATGATAATACAATCGACAAAGAAAGAAAAAGAGAGAGAGAAAGTTTCTCTCCTCTCTTCCACGCGGGAACAGTTCTTTAATTTTATTTTTTGAAAAAAAAAATTTCAGAATTATTATTTAATGCTTAAAGTTTGACTGCTATTACTAAATTATCCCTAATATTTAGTAAAATTATTTATTTATCTTATGAGATTTAGCTTCATTAAACTAGTTAGTAAATCATTTTTATTGGTAAATTCCTTTTAATATAAATAATTTTTATTTTCTATTAAAGAAAATCAATTTTATGGTACTGTAAATTTCTTTCGGTTAAACAAATGACTATGGAGTTGAATATTAAGGATAAATTAATTAATTTATATAAGAATGAATTAATAAATTTTTTTTTAAATTGACTGCACATAATAAAGATGGAAAGGTATATAATTAGTATTTAGTAATAAATGAAAAAAATAAATAAAAGAAAAAGGGAAAAAAGAACAGAGAGAAGCCAACGAAACACGAGGCCCGAAGATACAACAACAGTGGCTTTCGCACTCACCTTTAAAACGCCTCGATTTTCAAACGCTGAAAAGGGCAAGCTCTATTATTCTATTCTAAGCCCTACCCTACACTACCTAATCCTAAGGACTCCTAAATATACCTTTCCTGGGGCATGCCATGTGGATTCATTTATCATGTAATGGCATGTGTGCATGGGACTATCATGTCATGTGATGTCTCATATATATGTTGGGCTTTCATCATCATTCATCCATCAAGTAGCCCATATATGTATAATTGCTTCAAGGTGCTGGGGCTTTGTGGCTCCATTTCTTTCTATACCAATGATACCCTTGTATTAGGATTTTTTAAGTTTCCAAATGCATAAATTCATCGTCCTACTTTATATAAAAAATTTTGATTTAATACATGAATTTACTTCTAAATTTTATAACTTTAACCTTACGAAATGACCTATCATATATTTAAATTTATAAATTTTGATAATATTATACACTTTTCATCACTAATATCAATAATTTTTAGTATTTTTACTTTTATCTGTAAAATATTGACTTGATTTATAGTTAGATTACTTTTGAAAAATAATTTTCATAAAATTAAATTGGTTAAACACACTTATTGAACAATTGAAAAATGTAAAAATTATTATTCCAATGACTTTACTAACCATACATTAAGTAAATGATTGAATTTAGATATCAAAAACACCAAAAAATTATTTACACATGAATGTTTGTAGAATGTTACCAAAATTTGTAACTTCAGGAGCACAATCTCTTGTATTTGAGATCAAATCCAAAAAACCAATGAATATGAACTTGGGATGGTTATTAAAGATTGCAAGGAAATTTTAATGCGTAGGTCTAATATATCCTTTAGATGAATTAGAAGGCAAGCTAATGCAGGTCTCCACTCCCTGTTAGGGCATCTTACTCTTATTCTTGCTTTAGGATATGAGATTTTATCTCTTTTTATCTTTCATCATTCTATAATTGAAAGGTTTGCATTTCCAAAAAAAAAAAAAAAAATTGCCTTTTGCAAAATTTAGAATTTCATAAGGTTTTTCCACAAAATATATAGATAAATTTATGGATTTAGCCGTTTATTAAGCGATTATCATTTAGAAATAAAGCATGAAATGTATGCGGCATCTAACGTTCCATTCATTTTTTTTTTTAATTTTATTTAACTCTCTTTCAATATAAATATATAATTAATTCAATATGATATTTATTTAGAAGAATCAACAATAACCAGCAGTTGCAATTTATTCCGGAGGGGTGGCGAGATGACAATAATTCATTCTCCTTTCATTAGAGATTTCGAGTTGAAACTCTGAATATAGAGTCTTTTTAAATACTAAGAAAAATGTGCTTTGCTCCCTTTATGGACATATTCTATACGAATTCGAATTAATCGAATTAATAGGTGCCGGATGGTTACAACTTTTGTAATTTGTAATTTTTTCGATAAAAATAGTATTTCTATTAATTATTATATGATTATTCCATTGCAAAATAAAAATGGTACGAGCATAGTTTAATTATGGTAATTATTCTCATAGATTCTCACGTTAGTATAATTATGACACATTTCTTATACAACAACACATAATTATATATGTATGCAAGGTTGATACAATTATGATCTATAATTATTGAATAAATAAAGATTATTTAATTTTGATAATAAAATTATTATGACAACCCCTAATACATGGTCACTTTCAATTAACTCTGGAACACGTTTTCTAAAGGAAAAAAAAAAAAAATCAACCATGTTAAGATATTTTTAGAAGATAGAGAAATATAATTATAACATAAGAATTAATGATATTTCCACTGTTCTCTTTATTTAGAGAAAACAGAAAAAACTTTTTAATTAAGAAAGTTAGTTAAATAAATTTTTTCCCTAAAATGCCTTTACAAAGAGTTTATTTCTTCATTAATAATGAAAATAATAACTGACATAAAAGACATCCCAAATAATGCATTTATTGCCTATCTGCATCCTTTAAGGTGTTATTTTAACCTTTTTTAATAACTCTATCACACTTTACTACAATGAGGATGTTTCACATAATATGTGCTCAAAAACGAAATAATAGGCCACAAATACTAAGTACTGCATTTTTAAAAATGCACAATTAATAATAACAAAATATCACAAAATGACTTAAATTGTTACCTGACACTGAAAACAATAACTATTGAAAAAGTGCACAAATAATAATAATAATGACATAAAATAGCTTATAAAAGTTCACAACTACTGTTAACAAAATGCCACAATGTGTCTTACAAAAGAGTACTACCATTACAATGATTTAAAAAAAAAAAAAAGAAAGTATTGTACCTTTAAAAGTACATGATTAATAATAAGAAAAGGTCACGAAGTGGCTTATCGAAATTTACAACCATTATATAACACAGAAAATAATAACTATTGAAAAAAGTGCACAACTAATAATAATAAGGTCATAAAATTACTTATAAAAATGCACGACTAATAATAAAAAAGGCCACAAAGTGGCTTACAGAAGTTCACAAATATTACCTAACACAGAAAATAATAACTGTTGAAAAATGCACAACTAATAATAAAAATGCCATAAAATGGGTTATAGAAATGCACAACTAATAATAAAAAGGCACAAAAATACTTATAGAAGTTTACAAACGTT